AGGGGCTACCACCCCACTCTCCAAGCTTCCTCTGTTCTCTCTGCAAAAATACAGATATTGTCAAGGAAATATATACGTTTTTTCCCTTTGTTCTGCCTTCCAAAGACAAGGTCCACTGTGGGGGGTGGGGGCAGTGTATGTGACTGAATACAGTAATAACTCAGTATTGGGGTGAATGCACAGTGTGTGTGATTAGAGTATCTGTAGTTGAAATGCTCTAATTGTCTGCCTTTAACATCCCAAACTATAACTTCACTGACCACTTGTATACAGTGTATGCCACCTTCCTCCACCACCTGCTCCTAGTATTGTTGCCTTTCCCTTCCCTTTGGGTCATAGGGATTGCCAGGCTCCTCCTCACTCTCTTTCCAGCTAACTATTAAAGCCAAATTGTTTCCATTTCAGGCTGGTGACTTTACAAACCACAATGGCACAGGAGGAAAATCCATTTATGGCAGTCGATTTCCAGATGAAAATTTCATACTTAAGCATGTTGGACCTGGTAAATAAACTTGTTCCTTCTCCCTTAAGACAACTAACCTTTATTGACTCAGGCAGAAGACAGGGCATGGTAGTTCCATAAAGACCCATAGGTGCAGAGAGGGGGCTTTCTTGGGCAGTAGCATGTTTTGTCAAATTGCTGGGAATGGACTTCTGGAAACTGGGGTTCTCTAATGTACTGCCCTGCCCCTCCTGCTGCCAAATTCAAACCAACACACTGATCTCTGTCTGTCTGGGTTTAAAAAAAAAAAAAAAAAAAAGCCACTGCAAGAAGCAAGTATTTGAGATGGGTAGAGTACTTCATAATTTTAAAAATACCTTTGCAGTGTTGTTGAGAAGCCCAGCCTATAACATGTGTTACTTGAGCCTATAACAGGTGATGGTATCAGAGCCACACTTTTTCCATACATTAGTAATGATAAAATAGAGTAGAAATGTCCAACTAGTGGTTAACTCTTGGCTGTGGCCTTGTTCTGCCTTTACCACCTCAGCTCCCTGTTGCTTTACACACTCTTTTCCCTCGCCATCACCTGCTCCTGCTGTCTCTACCTACCCTTTGGGTCAGGAGGATCTCCAGGTTCCTTCTCTACTTCCAACTTATACTTCCTGATGCTGCCCTGGGGATTGCATGGCCCATGGCCGCTCATAAATTGGACAGTCCTGAAAAAGAACACCATCACTGTCTATCTAAAAGGCTTTCCCAAATGTACAACGCTCCTTCATTTTTTTTTATTATTATTTTGCAAGCCCCTTGAGTTAAATTTTTACTTATTACTGGGATTAATATCTTTATTCTAAATGGAAATGAAGTGCTGTGTAACTTCCATCTAAATGGGAAGGAAAGGACCATAAAAGTTCCCTTACAGGCAAAAGAATGCAAGTAACATGGGGCATGTCTACACGTGCCAATTTTTAAAGGCACATTAAGGGCACAGGTCTACAAGTTCACACCCTCAACGCACCTTAAAAATGGCTATTTTAAAATAGCCTAAAATTTGATACCTGAAAAAGTAGGTATTAAATTTAGGTGCAAATAGCTAAAGTGCCTTAATGCATGTCTGGACATGCTAAGACGCATTAACACTGTGTATGTTGACTGACTTGGGACTAACTATAGTCCCAAGTCAATTGACATACACAGCATTAATGCACCTTAGCGCATTGGGACTAACTTCACTCCCAAGTCAGTCCACGCTGTTAATGCACTTTAGCATATAAACATGTAGACACATGCCTCAATCGCCTTAATCACGTTAGGTAAACGCACATTAAGTTTAGGTGCACAAAAACGTGTAGACAAACCTGTGAAGGAGAAAATCCAGTGATGTATGGATATGTGATAGGCTTGTATGTCCACATTATCTGACAATGTGCTTCAGGCAAGGTATACACAAAAGTGGCTATAATACTTCTGGTTTGGAAGGATGTGCACCAAGTGGCTGCTTGCACATCTCAGTATGGTAGTAATTTGAATGATGCAGACATCCTTCATAGCTGTAGGAGAGTTTCACTTATAAAATGATGGTGTCGATGGAGATTGTCAGTATTGGCTCTTTCTGTTTTCTATGGAAAACATAATAAGTTTTACATGACTTTGACAACCTTGACATAAAAATGGTATTTCAACTAGCTATATCATCTCTCCTAGTGAAAGGGCAAAGGCATATTAGAGGGCAAGTAGAAACAGCATTTGTTATTGCATCTCCTGCTTGTTCTATTTTAGTACTTCTCTTGCTCATGCAGAGTAAAAAACAAAACAAACAAAAAAAAACAACAGCTTTTCAACTGTGCGCTTTCATATTGTTTAATCTCCAGTCCATGATTTTGTTGCTGTTATAGGTGTTCTTTCAATGGCCAATGCAGGCCCCAATACAAATGGATCTCAGTTCTTCATTTGCACTGTCAAAACTGACTGGTAAGTGTTCCATTGGCTGCATGTGGTAATGTTTAACGCATGGGGGTTTTTTCCTCCTTAATGTATGGTAATTGCTCTATCAGTATCTGTTTAATGTTTGGTGGGAGGCTTAAAAACAAGAAAGTGTAAGGGAGATACCACTTCTAAAAGCAGTGGATGTTACTCTGTGCAGTTGCACAGGTTATTATAAAATGAAAGCCCTATCTTTGTTCTCGCATTCCTTCAATTTTGTGGCATTGTTCTTCTGCCATTTTCTGGTCTCCCTGTCTTATTTTGATATATCCTTTACTGTTGGATTTTGCTTGCTTTGAGTCCAAAATAAATTCCTAATGAAGCTGATGAGCTTTTAGGCTAAAGCAAATATTTACTTGTCAGTGACATTTTTGCCACCTTTTGCTAGCAAATATTCTTTTGACCCAGAATCAAAGGATATGCCTATGAACATGGCTGCTTGTTTTTCAGAACTGGGGACTGATCCCAATTCTGCCATTATTTTAAAGGAAACCTTTCACTCCAAATGCAGGTTCCCTTTAAAACCCAAACCCAGCCTTGTTCTGCAGTCCCTGCATGGCTGCAGTAATGTAGCTATACAACTAGCAGTACCTCATATAGCCTGAGGGTAGTGCACATGGCATTGTACTAGACAACAAGTAACTAAAGAGGTGGATCTGGTGGAGACTTGCTCTCCACTGGATATCATAGTTGCATGTACAGGTTAAGTGCAACTCTGGGAGCATGCATCTCAGGACTCTGGAGTTATTTCAGTAGCTATGTGTTTTACACAACCTAGCTGAAGGTATTTTTATATGTGCCAATGCACCATTACTGTACAGTTTTTGAGAGAAATCTTACAAAAGTGTAAAAAGTCAATGAATACAATCTACAGCTTTATAACCCATTCCATTCCATGCTAATTTACCTTGAACAAATTCACTTACGTAGTACAAGTAAATATTTTTTTCAAAGGGAGACAGGCCCAGAAAGGCTATGATCAAGTCAGGACTTTCTTCCTTGCAGACCTGTATTTTTTTTTTTTTTTTTTTTTTTTCCCCCC